TTCCAAGATAAGTATAATCATCAACAACATCAATTGTACTAGCACCAAAATTAGGCAGGTCTGGTGTTGTGAATGTACGGTGCAAATTCAAAATTTTCTACAATACTCTATGTGTAGATACAAATCCTTCGTTGTTGTTGTTGTTGTTGTTTTAGTTTTAAGGGCGTGTGTCATTCAATTGTGAATATTTACGCCGAATTCAAGTTTTTTAATAATTTTAAATGAAAAAAAAAAAAAATCGACACTGTTCAATTGTTCGCATTTTGCGGACAATTTTTCATTCCCTTCTAAAGTAGCCTTTAAACAAGGCCACATGCCTGATAAACGCCGAGCGACTAAAAAGAGACTAATCGCGAAAACCTGAATGAACGCCAGTGCGAATTGTCCAGACATTCGTCGCTCGGTCGCGCGTTCACCCGGGGTATCTAGACTCATCTCAGCCGCTTAGTCGGAGTCACGAGGCCTTGTCAAAAGGCTACTTCTAAAGAGGATTAGGTAGCATCTGAAATGCATAACTTGCTCGATTCATCCTGTAAAATGGTTTGTACTTCGGTCAGGCTAACAGACTGACAAAATACCGAACTGAAAAGTAAAATATCTTGGATGGTATTCATGATGGACACCTTGATTGACATTTGGGATCACATTTTGCGTCTGAAATGTATCATTAACTTGCTCGATTCATCCTCTTAAAGCCCGTCTGTATATTGGCCAGGCGGGATTAGAATACCCAGCGTGGTTACTGACAGGTGGCTATCTCATCAACTCATCAATATCTTTGCAAATTCTAAATAGTCATATCAATTTAAAAACAATTATTATTATGTTTCAAATCGCAATTATGTTATCATCGGGTCAATTTAATCTAATTACAAAACCAGACATTTGAAGGGAGAGTCCACCCTGAGGATGGGTTTACTCCGCCTTTACTTAGCCACACACATTCTCAGGGTGGACTTCCCCTTCATTGCTACCGGGGCTAGACTCGATAAGCCTCGCTTTTTCTAGCCCCATCTACATTACTCACCTTTTTATGTTTTAATGTTGATGTTTGTTAACTGATGTAGATTTTTATTGTTCTTTTATGCTTATGTATCTGTTTTTCATTTGCTCTGTGTCAAATGTATAAAATGTATGTTCTTACCTTGTATATTCTTCTGGTTTTTAATGTGGAAAATAAATGAAATGAAATGAAACTCAGCTCTCAACTAACATAAGGAAAAAAGAGGATCATGGGGGACCAATGGTCACCGATTAGGCATTTTTTTCTTTATAGACAGAGCAAGTAGTTACAAGTAGTACAGTTTGTTTGTTTGTTTTATTTATTTATCCACGGTTAAAAACACCTGCTATCAGCCACAAGGCTGTTTTTCAGCAAGTCCGTTAAAAACATTCACACAATATACATAAACAAAACAAATATAATTCATAATACAAATTAAAATAACAAGAATACAAATGTGGAAATAACAAGAAGAATACAAATGTCTAACAAAATTAAAAAAAAAAAAAAAAAATACAAATGTGTAAATAACTCTTAATAACAATCAGAAATTTGAGGAGAAATACAATTTAGTGAAGTCATAAGCTCCTTATCACAAAACAAATCATCAGGTGTAGATTGAGTGAACGAGCGAGAGAGCGAGGAAGAGGGGGAGAGAGAGAGAGAGAGATATGAGAAGATATAAAAAGAAAGAGAAAGAGAGAGGGGGAAAGAGACATAAACAAAGATAGACAATAACAATTAGAACGTAGGGGGGAAAACACCATCGATCGCCTTTATAAAGCCGGGTTTCTTTTCTGATGCACTGGGGTAGGTGATTGAATAGCCGAGATGCGATATAAAGAGTACTGTTTCTTAGAAAATTAGTTTTTGGTTTAGGTATGTTAATAGTACATTCCCTGTTACTAAGGTTATAATTACTTTCTTTCAAAATGACTTTAGTAGAGAGAATATCTGGTACTTCATTGTTAAGTATTCTGTACATCAGAATAACCAGGTCCTTCTTAACTTTAACATTGAGACAATCAAGTTTTAATCTATTGTAAAGTTCATGCCTGCTGAAGCGAGAATTCACCCAAAGTACTATTCTTAATGCTCTGTTTTGTAATATCTGAAGCTTCTTTAGGTGCCCAGAGTCGGGTTTTATCCAAATCGTACTACAATAATCAAAACGAGATCGGATCATCGTATTATATAATAGCAGAGCAGTCCGTTGATCAATAAATGGTCTAGTTCTTCGTAATGGAGCTCTCACACTCTGCCGTGTAGGCCTACCGTCCACCTGCCGGGCTATTAAAAAACAACAGAGTCCAGAACGTTGGGTTTTGAGCGAACTTGTCCCCGGCCGCAAAAAAAAAAAATCATAAAATTAATCTTTTCACCGTTTCATTGCCATCTTCTGACCGTTCTCACCGGGCGCATACCGGGTGTTGAACGTGCTTCTACCGTCTTCACCGCCCAGATTGACTTTTGTTGAAAATTTTGGCCGTTTCCATACCGGGCCCATACCGGGTCTCGAACGTGTGCACCGGGTTTGTAGCAGCCACCTACCAGTCACTTAGCGTCCCCTCACCGCTCGGAGCGTCCTGTGAGCGAGTCCCCGGACTGCTGACGTCATGACACGACTGCCATAAATACCCCGATTTTTTTGCCCGTTCATCACCGTTCTGCAACGGGTTATGAGCGTGTTGTGAACGTGTTCATACAGTGTGACCGTTTTCATAACGTATTCATACCGTCCTCATACCGTTCATCACCGTCCTCTTGCCGCTTACTTGCGGCCGGTGCCACCCGGCCAAAGTTTTGAACATGCCCAAAACTTTCGCCGGGTCCCACCGGGTGTAAATAAGCGCCAACGCCCTATTAACGTGTTGCCCGCTTTGATAACGAACCACCGTGTGCCCTCGCCGTTCTCCACCGTCCGCAGACATTTTCGCGCACGGTGGCACACGGTAGGCCTCCACGGCAGAGTGTGAGAGTCACTTAAGACAAAAAAGTTCTGTAGTATTGTTGATTTCGCCCTTTCAATTGGTGGTGTCCATGAAAAATCTGTATCAAGTATAACACCGAGATATTTACATTGATCGACTCTCTCTAGGGAACAATAAAAAAAAAACAGACATTAATGTTCTCAAAATCTTTACGTTTACATTTTGTTCCTATGACCATAAACTTACATTTCATTGCATTTAGCATAAGTTGATTATGCAATAACCAATCATGAATAACACCTAAATAAAAAAAAATAATAAAAAAAGCGTCCTCTTTAGAATGTGAGGTGTTAAAGCGTACAGCTAAAAGTATTCAAGAAAGGCCCTAACTAGTCCATCTTCAATTATTGAGTTACGAATAACACAAGAAACATCAAATTTATATGGGGTATGAACAATTCAGTTGTAAACTGAATATATGTATATATATATATATATATGAAAGGAAATAACCTATAGTATACAACAGATTTGGCAAATCCCGTGGAAATATGGTTGAATAGCTTAAATCTAAGTTCCTCATTACTGTCCTCCCTTGAACTTTTTTTTTGCAAAGGTTGAAAAATTTCTTCGCCGGGTCTCTAAGCCACTGACCCGGGTTATATTACCAGCGGAGATATTTGTTCAACCTATTCAAGAAATTACAATAAGAGAGGACACTAATGGGGAACTTTGATTTTAACTACGCAACCATTAATCTCTCATTTCCTTATGCATTTTGTATATTGGGCCCTGTCTATTCTTCTAATCGAAACACATCCGTTTCAGCATCTACAATGAATAAGCTTACTTGGTTTCGGTATTATGATATGGAAATGATGGAAAAAAGAAATGCAGCATTGAAATGAGATCTTACGTTCACGTGTGTGAAATAGAGCGAGAGAGAAGGGGAAAATATAAGACAGTAATGAGATAACACGATGATAAGAGTATTGAAAGAAAGGGGGATAGATGACAAACGTAGAAGTAGACAGCTTGTACAAACAAGGAGGAAAACTTTTGGCAATTACTTATTTTTATTAGCATATAATAAATGTACAACATTTTGGCTGAACATTAACTGTTCTATGTGCTTTTCTTTTCTCGCTTCACCTATTTCTCACCCCTGTTATAATCGTAATTATAAAGACCTTTCACTCTTTCCACTATAACCCATTTTATCTTCGAGTCCTCCGCCCACGATCTTTCTCTCCCACGCTACTCATTTGTATATTTATATGGCTTTTGTATGTGTATGTATAACTTGTCGTATTTTTTTCTTCATTTTAGCATACAACTGAATTTGTCATACCCCTTGTGAAATTTGATATGTTGTGCTTTTTCGTAACTCAAGAAATAAAAAGTGGACCTTTAGAATTATGTTGAATAATTTTAGATCATAATATTTTTGACAACAGACTTAACTCCGTTTCGTTGACAATCAGCCATGCATGAAGTCTTTCGTCTACGGCTGATTGTCATCGAAATGGAGTTAAAGTCTTTTGTCAACTCTGTTTGTTGCTACGGCAGGCACCCAGTGAAAACGAATTCATTTGATAAAATTATGGAAATGCAAGCACTCCTTTAAACAAACAGAACTTTGACAATCCTTGGTCATTCTTCCTGATTGAGGTGTCATATGAAAGGACAGAAACTCAACTTTCTAGAAATGTGATTTTCTCCTTGAAATTCAGATATCGTCCGCTAAATGACTGTTTGGTTTCCTCTCTTCAAATTCATTTTAATCACTCATGCGTGAAATATGTATTATATGAGTTACATCAAATGAAAGAGGGGGTCCTAACCTTTCCAAATATGTGTCATTTATCAATTATAAATGTGATTAAGTTATGATAAAACATCGATAATTCTCGGTTTCGTTTTTTCTGGGACGCACTGTATATAGATCACTGGCCCCACCTTCTTTTATTCATCCATCCTTGACTCAATTATATGCATTCTCTCATTACTTTCCGTTAAAACGTTACCGATACTTCAGCTTTGAGTCCAGTACAAATGCAGCGTTAGACATTTCACAATTTTAATGTACCATTTTTTTTTAAATTGCAAAATCATATTTTTTCAACAAATGCAATGTGAATTGAAACTGATCATGAATAGATACATATGGCTGCGTGCCAATCAGTGTCTTACATAATATACAAAACCAGGCTTCGATATCCGATTTTGTCATCTAATTCCGTTGTTGGGGATAGTGTTATCAAGCAATCGCGGTATTTGTTTCTTTGTTTTTTAATTGTTCCCCTAAAATATATTCATGTTTAATTTCATTAAATATTATAATATTTCACCGTTATTGCTGTAAAATTCACTAATCAATACTATTTCATGCAAACTCAACAATCAGAACTTCTCCTGAACATTGACAGGTATGTTAATAAAGATTACAATAATTCGTTTGTAATATTTTTTTGCTCGGAGGTATGATAATTGTACTTATTTTTTATTTGAACCATTATCCTGAACGCAATGTGCAATAACCTGCAACGCATAATGAGCTTGCAGTAAAGAATACGTGATCCTATAACATAATATAAAATGACATGTCAAAGAAGTGATCATGCTATCTCTGGCGTCTATTGTTATTATTGCGGTCAACGTAGTGGTGGTGTTGCTGGTGATGTTGCTGGTGATGTTGCTGGTGATGTTGCTGGTGATGTTGCTGGTGGTTGTGGTGGTAGGAGGATCCAAACTGATGCGTAGACCCGCCCCATTCTTGCCTAAATTGATGTGATTGGCGGATAGATGTGTCCCATCTATCCCCTTGTCTGCATGGTGGGGGAGGAGCCACATCGTAGCTCGCTGATTGGCGGCTGGGATTGTAAGGAACAGGAGTTGGGCGTGGTCGTGACTGATGCTGATGCTGGTATCTCTCATTCGGAGGAGGCGTTTGTTGCTTTGAAGTGGTAAATTGATTACGGTTTTGATGATGGTTCTGGAAAAGCAGCAGAATAAAATACAGGTTTTGTTCTTCACTTTCTAACTCCAGCATGAGACAAATAAATGCACCCTCCTTAACTGACCACAATGATGGGACTAAATCAAACTAAACTAAATATAAATGTTACCATGATGAGGCCTGTTTTCACTAGCTCGAGATTGCCAAATATCCCGCTATTTGAACTATCCCGATCGCATACTATCCAGCTAATTTGTGTCTTCACCAGCCCGAAGTTGCAACTAGCGGGATATTTGGTAGGGATTGTCATCCCAAGATATCTTGGGATAGTTTGCAAAATATCCCGCTATTTGTCCAGTACGTCTTCACCAGACCGAAGACTCGCACTATGCTCGAACGCTGAGCAAAATATCTCGAGCTAATTTCTCAAGGTCGAGTTTCAAGTTTCGAGGTCGAATCTCGAAGGTCGAATCTCGAGCTGATGAAGACGCGATTTGTATAAACTTCGGGACTATTTCCCAAATCAGAAATAGCGGGCTATTTGGCAATCTCGAGATGATGAAGACGAGCCTAAAAGAGTACACTTACATTTCTTCGATCGTATCCACCTCCGAATCGCTGACCGCTTCTATAGTTCGATCTAACTGTATAAGGAGGGACTCGATTTTGAGATGGAGCTGGACTCTGTCGACGGAAAATTAAAAAGAAGTAAAGAAATAAGTGCTTTAGAAGGATTAAAGGGAAACAAATACGTTAGTGTCAGGACATGAAATCATCATGGTGCAAGACATGATACTGGAGTTATGCTGTGTCCTCCATAATCATTATCTCAGGGAAAATTGTGGGAAGAAGGAGTAGAGGAAGAAGGAGGATACTTTGGATGGACAGTCTGCAGAAATTGTTGGAAGATAGAGGAGTGAAAGAACTGGGAGTGGTACTAATACAGAAGGCTAGGAGCCGAGAGTTGTGGAACAGCATGATCGCCAAAGTCAAACGATATGGCACTTAGAGAGAGAGAGCACGTGCAATTTCAGAAACAACAGGCACCAATAATACTGCCGGACGGATTGGGTTGTGTAACACAATGGCCTTGCAACAGAGGGAGATCATTTTGTGTGACATAATATACAGATCTTAAAGTCCCACTGCACTACTTATAGCTACTTACGCCCTCTATACAGCAAACAATGCCTAATCGGTGACCATTGGTCCCCCATGGTCCCCCACGGTCCCCATTTTCTTATGTTAATTGAGAGCTGATTTGATGAGATAACCACCCGTCAGTGACCATGCTGGGAGGTCTAATCCCTCCTGGCCAAACTAGTGCAGATGAGCTTTAAGTGATAATTCACCTGATACTGTCTCCTATCCTGCCACTGGTGTGGATACCCTGGTTCCCTGGCACCATTGGCAGCCCCCATCATCACCATCATCTGGTGATTGAACTGATGGACCTCCGGGGGTGCATCCACAATCGGAGGAAGGGCTTCTGGGTGACCGTTCTGGTAGATGATGTGGTAGGGAGGGGGAGGAGGAGGAGGAGGAGGAGGGGTGCAACGCCGGCGATGAGGGGCTGATATTAATACAGGCGACGATTGGGGAAGGGGTGCATCAGTGTTCCATTGGTCGCTGTGCGATGGGGATGATAGAGGACTTGTTGCCTGTTTGTCCTCACCCTCTTGCATAAAATCCGAAAGGTTATCCTGAGGAATTCAATCAGCAAACTCATTTTAGATTATTTATAGTATACGTATTTATCACTTGAACAAAGAAATCTAATATGTACATATACCAAACGCGGTGACATTTAATTTGAAAAATAAAAATCGTTAATCCTGTAATAAATAATTTAGGACAGTTGCCCTTAAAGAATATGATGCAACCATTATGTTAACATCTTAATTTAATCCGAATGGCCATTTTTATTGGTGATGTAAAAATGGTAAATGATTATAATGTGGTATTTGTTTTGTTAATAACTTTTTGTTTGGCTTTGATAAAGTACCCCCCCCCCCCCCTCCACCTTACAAAAAAAGACCAAATACATGTACACATAAATTTAAGATAGGCCTATACAAAAAAATAACCTTATCCATAGAAATTATAAATTGTATTACGATAGGCCTCGTGATAATTTGAAAGGCGCATAATGACAAAAGCCCGTTTCTCACCCTTCGTTGACTTGAAGGTTATGACAAAAGAGGAATAATGGGGAAACAACATCTACATCGAGCAGAGCACTGGGGTTATTGTTTTAAAAAAAATGAATGCATGATGTTTAACCAAAAGATAAGACTTTAAATGATTAAGAATTACACTGTTGGAAATACCTACCACTATGTCATTGGATATGTAATGAGAGGGTCGATCAGGGTAGCGGTTGATCTTCGATGGCCCAACCTCAAAACTGATCGTCATGCTCTCGTCATCATCTTCATCACTAGATTCGTCGTGACTTTCATCGCCGTAACCACCATCGCAGTCTCTCAATCTCGACATTGATTCCAGGTTACCATCGACTTCTCTTTCGTTCTCGGCGTCGATGCCTTTCATCATCTCGACGAACGTGAATTGATATTCGATTGCCTCGTCACTGGGCCACACCCCTCGTTTCGAAAGCACCGCCTCCCGGTCCTCCTTCGCCATCTTGTCTAATTTTTTGCCATGGTTACCGTAGATGCAGTAGTCCTTGGGTACGCATAACGAGGTGTAGTCGACTGGGGAAAACAGAGCACTATTGTTGGCTTGGCCATCGTTGTCTTGGACGGGCACAGTGTCCTGCTGTACCCGTCTGTTAGTCTTTGGTTCTATCTGTGGAAAGTTGTGGAGTTCAATAACAATTTATGGTGAATTTGAGTCTCTCTCTTCATTTGCTTTCATTAAACGGTTCTACACTCCTTTCATGACTTCACGCACCAAAGATTACGCCTATCCTCTATAAATCAATCCGCCTCTTTCGATCTCCCAACAATCTCAGGTAGTTCTGAATAGGACGAACACGAAATAATACCTCTCCCTCTCTCTCTCTCTTTACTTTCTATCATCTTTCGAACTCAACAGTCCTTTTTATGACTAATCACACGGTGAAACTGTCAACCTAATATATGTAAAATCTTGTAGGTCTTGTTCCCAAAGTAGTTCAAAATCCTGGACATTTAACTCTTAGCAGTATACGCTTTTTTCATGATTGTGTGCTTTTCAATTTTTCTTTATCTCTTCGTTTTTGATGTGCCATGTTCATTATGTCCGTAGAGTCAGAACGAATAATTAGTGAAGATTTTGCTCTGATTCTTTTTGCGAGCGCCCGCATAATTATATCGCTAGTATTAAACAGACCATTACACCATTGGATTTTCAAATTTGATGAATAGAGGAAGAAACTATTGAATTTTAGGATTATCTTGTGGTGTTTAAGCGTCCATCATCCTTATCAGTCAGTAAGCACGGACAAATCACTCTTAGAAGGAAGGACAAGTGTTACATATAGCTTGCACTGATTGTGACAGCTCTTTTGTTTAAGAAACAGGAACTATGAGGGATAAACTGACAGAACATAACAAGAGCCCTTTGTACAACGAATATAACCATATAATTAAAAACAGCACACCCTTAGTCCTTGACATGTCAATAGATGGTATGGTGTTCTTATAAGGGGAATTTGCAAGAAGAGCAAGTGAGGTCGATTTAAAAGGACTTTTTAATCGTAGTTATAATCTCACTTTTTTGTGGAGTGTGTAAATAAAATGAGAAGACCTCACTAAAACGGTCGAGCGCTGCTCGTGTCTACAACAGTGAGATTGAAATATCGACATTTTCTATTTCACAGAGAGGTGTGCATATTTCATCAAGTCATTTTCTTCACTTTTTTCTTTTTAGTCAATGAACGAAACATTAGCCTGCTATTCTAATAGATTGTTCGATTGAAAGTTGTCTTCTGAATTGAAACGATTTGATATTTGGTTTTGGGGGAATAGGGCTTACTTTGTGAGGTTCTTTGAACTTTGACCGCTGTTCATATATTTCCAAAATGACATCATTGCTCTTCTGAGCGCTTTGAATGTTCTGCAAATAAAGCAGCGAAGAATTACAATCTTAGTGAAGTTAGGATTAGAACAAGAAACTGTATGGAAAATATTTACATGTATATACATTTATCTACCATCTTAATTCATCTTAACAAAAATGTAATGAAGTAGTAAATGTTGAATATCATTAAATGTAAATATCTTAAACGTGATTGCAACGGCAATTTCAATAGCGTAGATCGTCACATATCAAAATGTCCGAACATGACATTGACGTATACGTATTACGTAATCCAAAGATAATATATATTTGATGTACAACGTGATACTGAAATAGCTCTTGAATTGATTTATCGACAATATTTGCAATCGCGTTCATTATTAAAGTATTCTAGATATACAGGATCAATATGAAAAACAGCTTTAGCTGATATTGTCATCCTGAATAAATATTTTTGAATAAATAAATAAATAGATAAATATTAATCAACACACACCTTGAGGATAGTAGCTACAAATGCATCAGCGAAATCCTCCAAATATTCTTCCGTCACCGTCTGTGAGAAAATGATATGAATTAATTTTGATAAAAGGGAGAATATTTATGACAAAATAGTAGATATTACTTGTGGACCCCTTTGAAAATCAACTTAAATTGAAAAGGTAATCCACTCCACATGTGGAAATAAATAAATAATACAATTTTTTTTATTTTTTATTTTTTTTTTATTATTTATTTATTTATTTATTTATTTTTTTTTTTGGGGGGGGGGGGCATACAGAAAATCGGATTTCTCAAAAATCGTTCTAGATTATAAAGCCTTTGGATATTCAGAGGCGAAAATAATAATGAAATCAAATTCATCAGCCTTATTGTAACAGCAATGATCATAGGGGAGACAAAATAAGGAAGAAATAAATAAATTGACACAGATATATATATTTGTTAGGCAAGCACAAAACAAAAGAATATGCGCCATAAAAGTAACCGACTGAATACTTGGCCAACTCTGTGTACAGCCTACTTACCGACAGTGCGTCATCTACGGCCTTTTGTGAAAGTGTCTCCAATTCTTTCTCTTCTTCAGACTGACGAAATACCGTAAAGAAAGAAAGAAATATCTTAATATGTTCACATAGACATTCTAAGCACGTTAAAAAAAACAATATGCGTATGCTCATGTTTAAAGAATAAAATCTCCGTTTCCATGATCTCCATCTCCATCTCCCATCATGCTCATATTATGAAATTGATTATACGAAGCTCCGTTTCTGTCAAATAAACACAATTTTTATATTCATATCTTTTTTTTCTCCTTCGATATGATGTACATGTAAAGCTACTATTTATAATTAATTGATTTGATATCAAGTTACCATTTATGATTAGGTCCCAATGACAACGTACAACATCAAAATTTAAATGAATGGAGTATAATCGTGATTAAACGTATTTTCATTTTTGGTGAAGAGAACAAATTGCACGGATGGGGAAGGGCGTATACTATGAATAGTAAAAACAATGGAGGTCAGATGATGCATAATTGGCCAATCAAATTGCCTATATTCTTTATATGTGTAAAGTTAATTAATGAAATCTATCCTTTTGCAACAGTGTGAAAACAAACCCAATTAATTGCACGAGTTTAAATGGGAACTCACCTAAATATCAAGCATAAAATTGAAAGAGATATATGTGAAAGTTTGAGTAAAATACTATCAAAAATGAGAACATTCATGATTATTTTTTTAATCGATTACACGCACTAATAGCAGGTCCGAGCTATCACCCCCCCCCACACGTTACCTACCAGATCTAAGATTTCAGTTTATTCGATGACAGTATCAAACTGATAGCCCTTTTACAGCTTAAATCGGACACACAATCAAATAAATTGATATTTTGATGTAAATTTGTTTCCCCTATTCCATGAATATCATTTAATAATACTTGTGCAACTGATGGGACGTCCCTTGGAATTATGTATGAACTCCAGAATATGACCATGGTTAAAGTTAAAAGCATTCGCATTAGGTCAGGGAAGTTGTTAAAAGAGTCGTTTAATAGTGAACAAACCTCGATACTTTCATGATTTTTAACATCAGGTGGTACAGCTTCTAGTGGTCCGTTGTCATTTGTTCTATCAATTGAAAGGGTGAGATCTATATGAACAGACATTCATAACGTGTTTCTTAAGTGATTACTTAAAAAATGAAAACAATAGTCCGTATAGCATTTGCCAGGCAAGAATCATTCTTTGTATCCACATTATATACATTTATAGATATGGGAATCCTTCATTTCCCAGGATATTGAGGTATCACGTTTTGATTTGATTTGATTTATATTCCAACATCAATACATTTCATACAATAATTTACATATACAAGAAGAGAAACTATTGGTTTGTAAAAGGAACCAGATAGCTCATGTGCTAGTCGAGCCTAACCCCTTAAACAGCTAAACAAAGTATTTTGGTACAGATCAGTTTAGAGAACGTAACAAAACCAAAAATAATGAATTTACTTTTACAATCGATACTTTAAAAAAACAAGAATCAATACTCAACAATGTCTTACAATATACAAACTAATAATGTACAGTATGAAATTGTGTACATATGAGATCAGGCGCGTACACAGGGGGGGGGGGTTTGGGGTTAAACTTTGGTAATTTTTGTGTGTAAACCCCCCCCCCTTTTGATTTAAAAAAAAAAAAAAAAAAAAAAATTCCCATGGTTGACCTAAAAAGCTGACCTTACCCCCCCCCCCAACAGAGCAAAATGTCAAATTTTCAAATTTCGAGACCCCCCCAAAAAAAAAAATGTCCTCTTACCCCCCCCCCCCCCCCCACCCCCCCCCCCCCCCCCCCCCCCCCCCCCCCCGCTTATCAGCGGCTGGCTGAGACGTTGCGAAATTTTCGGCCCGATTTATAAATGTTAAACCCCCCCCCCCCCTTGAAAAAATCCTGCGATTATTTAACTTGATATTTCATTCATGACTTGTTCAACAAATGACTTGTAACAGAATTCCGAATTCCGAATTATTTCTAGACCTTGTCAATCTGACATTAAAGGTAATCTTTTCCAAAATCGAAATCTTACCTTTCTTAAGATACACACTTTTTTGGGAAATTAATGTTTTGAAGCTTTATATATATACCCGTGTGTCACGAACTCATCATCATTTCGGAGATGCAAGCTTGTGGTCGTGAAGCCTGGGGAACTTTCATTACCAAGGAAATAGAGGCTTCGTCTGAAACAAGAACATTAGAGAAATTTGTGTTGATAAAATAGTGCCCCTTCCTTATCTCTTTATCCAAATTAAAAAGGCAAATAATACGTATGTATACGTTAAACATCGAAGAGAAAATGTGAACAATATGCAAGCGCAATTGTGTGAGTGTGAGTGTGTGTGTGTATGGGAGAGTGGGTTAAATTTCTTCATATCATCACTAAAATCGCATGATAAAACAAACAACAATCGATGTGTAATACATAGTAGTTTGTAAGAAAAGTAATTGATCGTTATGATTCCTAAAATGTTTTAAAGCTAGGGCACTTTCACCAAAAAATGCCAGACATTATGATTTTGCCGAAGCAATATGAAAGAAGAGGATCATCACAGTCAGATATTCATGAAAAAATGAAAGATGAGTGAGAGAGAGATGGATAGAGAGTGAAAGAGAGAGAGAGAGAGAGAGAGAGAGAGAGACAGAGAGAGAATGGAGAGACAGGGGTGAGCCAGAGAGAGAGAGAGAGAGAGAGGAGAGAGAATTAACGACGGGATTTGCATGCACTTTAACTCCCCGGAGTTAAACCAATTAAATACATTACCTGTCAATGCTAGCTCCAGAAACAGTAAAAGAACTTCTCACAAGGGAAGCGAAGGAGTGTTTCTTCAAGTCTGAAATCGGAGCAATGATACAAGGAATAACATCATGGAAATATCAAAGGAACATTGAATTTATATTAATTAATACAAATATATAATTCTAACCATTATAGGTATTCGTAAAGCTTT